GAAAATAACTGTAATTTTTTGCTATATATTCAAATATTTAATTTGAATTATAGCCCATAACCATCCATTTTGTTTACGGTACGTTAAGTTCTCCGTAGTTCCGAGAAAAACTATTTCGCATAGTAATTAGCCATTAAATCTAGCCGCACTCGACCACCACGCACCTAGAAAAATAAAGTAACCTCACGTAATGTATGGAACTTGAATATTCTATGATATGGAAGGTACACCTGCTAATTTTATGTCTTTGGTGCGATAAAACTAAAACTATACGCGCCAGCACCTGCGTAATGGAGAATAGGCAATTAACTATTTACTGCTTAATAAAATGATAGTTTATTTTAGTTAAATCCACATATTTGATCATAATAGCAATTCTTCTAGAGGTTTATTAAAGCTGATATAATTTATTGGAAAGGTAATTAATGACAGCATTTCCAGTAAAGATAATTAAACCGGATGCCCAGTAAAATAGTCCTTTTTGACTTTTATGGGTTGTGTCTGTTACTAACTAGGCTCGCAGAAAAATACTTTTAACTAATTTTACTACGGGCATTTCTGTAAATGGAACACAATTACCTAATTAACATCTTGTAATGCTTGTTTTCTTAAAAAAAAAAACGACAACGTCTTCAGATGTTTTTCAGATCTATTATCCTTTCGTTCTCAATTATATGAAAAAGAGATTATTATTATTATAACTTCAAGTCGTTGCTAAGTAGATATTATAAAAACAGAAGAACAAGAATATTTTGTCCTCGCGTTTGTATGAAAATAGTTCAGTTTCCTGATACTCATTATTTTAAGAGTAAAATATGTATAAATCTATAATAATTAATTAATCGTTTTTTTAATGGCATTTTATCCATGTGTTGTGAAAATATAAAAACTCAAAACCAAGAAGTAAGGGATAAATAAAATTTTTCTAAAATAAGATTTTTGCCATACTTGTTCCAAAAAAATAAATGTATTGCATTGAAATTTGGTACAGGTAAGCTGTTGAGGGTGCTAATAACGAGCGTTCAAATAAAAACGTGGTCGAAGTTGGCTCTGACACATTGGACGTAGGGAGTAGCTTATAGCGACCAACTTAACCTCATTTCTCAACGAGCTGTATAGCAGCTGTCAGTTTCAATAACGTTAATGACTATATAACTTTATTTTAAAGAATAATCGTGATAACAATAACAAACAATTAAAGGAGCTGCGGAAAGTGTCCCCCTCCTTGTTATAACAATAAATTAAAGCAGCTGCTGAAAGTGTCCCCCTCCTTGTTCCAAGCACTTTTCACACCTGTTCCTCAAAGAATTAAAGACATTTTCTAAGATGCTCGGGGTATTGTTAATTTCACGAATCTTGTCTATAAGTCGAGCCTGCAGATGGTTTAAATCAGGAATAGGCAGTTCAAAAATAGTGTTTTTAAGGTAAGGCCACAAAAAGAAATCACACGGCGTAATATCACATGACCTCGGTGGAAATTCATGTTCAGCATTGAGACTTATTAGTCGATTTTGGAAAACTTCCCTCAACATATTCATCGTCTCGCCTGCCGTATGTGCCCTTGCGCCATCTTGTTGAAAGTAAAAGTTTGTAATTTCGTTTTCTTCCAGCTGGTTAACAAAAGGAGCGATAATTTCTTCTCTATACCTTTGCGCAGTAAGAGTACCATTAAAAAAAATAGGTCCATAAATCCTCCTTCGATTGAGAGCACACCAAACTCCAATTTTTTGAGCGTGTAGAGGGCCCTCGACAAAAAAGTTATCTGGTTTTTCAGAAGACCACATTCTCATATTCTGTGAGTTTACGTAACCACTTAAATGAAACCAGGCTTCATCAGAAAAAAAGGTGATATTATGAAGTTCACCGTAGTTGTTTAAAAACCATTCACAAAATACAGCCCGTCGCGGAAAATCAACTTCATGAAGTTCTTGCTGACAAGTTAAACGATAGGAGAACAAACGCAAATCTTTTTTTAACACTGTGTGGCAGGTACCGACTGATACTCCCACCATTTGTGATAAAACACGTACAGAAGTTCTTGGCGCATTTTCCATTATTTGTTGGACATTTTCTTTTAATTCTTCAGTCCGCTTTTTAGGTCGGCCGCTTCCTTCTTTTCTTGTTACACTGCCCGTTTCACGAAAAACATTAACACAACGCTGAACTGCACTTTGAAAAATTTTGTACTCAACAACGCCGGGAAATTGATTTTGAAATTCTATGAAACATTCCTCAATAGAATACTTCCATATTCCATCAATCTTGCGTCCATTTCTAAAGTAGGACTCTATGATAAACACTTTTTGTTCTTGAGAAAACACCATTTTAAACGCTTTTTAAAACGAAAATATTCAAATTGATAGCGGCGATATAGCGCTTTGACAGATGACGTTTAAGTTCATTTGCTATACGCTACGCCCTACGTCCAAATTTTCAGAACCAACTTGACCACGTTTTTATTTGAACGCTCGTTATATCAGTGTTGTCAATTTTTGAAAGTCTGTCTAGAGTCTGCTAACTACTAATTCTACCATTTACATTTTATGAAATAACTTTTTTGATGGAAGATTTTTCCAGAGTACCTATATTTTTTTAATTTATCTTTTTCAAAGGCCCGTGGCTTTTTAAGCTAGCAAAATTGTATCAAGTTAGCTTATTTTAAATTCGTTTATTTTCATTTAAGTAAGCTAATCTTGAATTATGATCCACTCTTTTCTGGTTTGTAAATTTATGAAGACTCTGTATAAGAAATTTATAGACATTTCTCTCATCAAAGCTATCCATCATTGAAAGTTAATATTGCCAATTTTAAAAATCTTCTTTGCACCTTTTTTAATGGTGTTATATAACAATTTATAGTAAGGACCTCACAAATCTTATTTATGTAAGATAGTTAAAATTAAAATATTCTTATAATCTGCACTATGTAAAATAAAACCCGAATTTTTATTAACCTCTACAATGTATTCAAAATGTCCAGAGAATGATAATTTGGGATCAAAGATGACACCTTGAACGTTGACATATCCAGGTCTATATCTGTCTAACTAGGTATAATTACCCCTAAAAAACTGACCCCCACTTAAAGGTACGCCCTATATATACCTATGTTGGGTTTATTGTCACCTAGGCTATTTTATGGAGAAAATAACTGTAATTTTTTGCTATATATTCAAATATTTAATTTGAATTATAGCCCATAACCATCCATTTTGTTTACGGTACGTTAAGTTCTCCGTAGTTCCGAGAAAAACTATTTCGCATAGTAATTAGCCATTAAATCTAGCCGCACTCGACCACCANAAGATAGTTAAAATTAAAATATTCTTATAATCTGCACTATGTAAAATAAAACCCGAATTTTTATTAACCTCTACAATGTATTCAAAATGTCCAGAGAATAATTTGGGATCAAAGATGACACCTTGAACGTTGACATATCCAGGTCTATATCTGTCTAACTAGGTCTAATATTATTACATTAAGTCTTTGTAGCAAATCATTCATTGTCTGTACTGGAATTGCGTATACTAAACTTTTAGTATCCATCGGGTTAAAGTCTGGAGAACGTGGTGGTCATGAAATTGCGTCTCCTCTCCCAATCCATTTATTATTATACACAATGGATAAATAATTTCGTACATCAAGATTGAAATGGGGAGGAGCCCCATTGTTCATGAACCAAACGTTTCTTCTGGTGTCTAATGGAACATCATCTTATAGTGGCTGCAAATTATTTTGCAAAAACTCCAAATATCGATGTCCATTCAGACGTTCCTCAAAAACGTATGGATCTATTAAATTATTACCACAAAAATGCTTTTTCATGTACAAACAAATAACATTCGTAGTCTTAGGAAGTGTGTTATTATTATTCGTAGTGTTAGGAAGGTGCTCATATTGAAAATAGATGTTGACAGTTTTCTTTCTTATAAATTATTTTTTAACTTATTTTTATGTGTAAAGTTTGTCCGTCTTTTGTTAGTAAAAATTACATTAGCACACAGTAAGATTTTCTAGGCTCTTGTTTTAAAAATATGTACGCTTCTAACATAGTAATTAAGTGCAATTAAAAATTAAAAACAAAAAATGGTGGAGGTGCCGTTCGAGTGCAATGTGACATAAAATCACAAATATTTCCTAAACTGTTAATTTTACCGAGTTGAACCAAGAGGGTTCATGGTTCAAGAGGGCAAATTCTTCAGGTAATTTATTTTAGATACAGGCAGATTGCGATCCTCATCTATGCAAAAATTCTGGGTTGTTAACCATTGGGGTCCGTCCCTGGGGTTATGGGCATAATGAAGTTTCACTTACTACATCAAAAACAAGCTGTACGCATGTGTTATCGATCACCAAATTTGCATCATGCTGAAGTTAATAGTTTAGAGACTGTAAATAAAAATAAGATTTTAATTTTGGCCCGTAACTTGTTAACGAAGGCCCGTATGGAAAAAAATTATATGAAGAAGTGATATTATTTTTACTTCATCTATCCCCCTGTATATCATTGTTAAAAAAGATAAAAATCATTAGACCAAATATCGAAGTCTGCAACATGCTTGATGTTTGGTTAAAACCTGGATATTATAAAAACTGAACGCGATGAGAAATATATAATTTCAACAAACGTAAAACGAATTTCTAAAGCCAAGATATTTATCTTGCATTTTAATATTATCTTCAATAATCTCAGAGACAGAGATACTGTTGTTATTAGATATGCCCCCAGTGTAGTAGTAAATTTTGGCATTCTCATCATATCCGTTATAGTGTTTTGTAGAACAGTGTTAAAATTATGAATTTGTACGTATTTCTAACTTTTGAAAATAAGTAAAAAATAAAATAACACCTCTAATATCACAACTCTATATTTTATACACAGTATATACAATAACAGAACGTACTAGTCATCAATACGTAATACACAAGAATGAGAATCATTGAAAGCATTTATTTACAGTGAACAAGGCACTTGATTAGTAAAATAGTACGCTAAACTACTGATGCGATATCACGTCGAAAGCTTCTTGACTATAATTATGCACATTGTTCAAACTAGAGACACAAGAATTGATTCTGAAGTCGAGATCGTTGAACATAGTACTGTCATTCGTCATTTTGTTATCGTAGACACTCAGAAAACTATTATACTCGTTGAACTGTCCCAAGTCTATGTATTCCTCCTGGTAGTTATGTTTATTGTAAATTTTTGAATTTGGGTACGTTTCGAAATTCTGATAGCCTTTGTCTTCCATTAAGTACGATGTTTTGTTGTCCATTAAGTCGAAGGATGGGTTTTGTTGGTAGTAATGGGATTTTTGTAGAGAAAATGGCAACTCGTCGATCTTCGATTCCATGTAAAAGTTTTGGTCCACTGGCTGTGAATTGTTATTGAGAATCAGTTGATTTTCTGGGCTTTGGCTTAGGTTGTATCTGCTATTACTATTACTGCTGTTATTACTGTCATCGTTAATCAACATATTATTGATATTTGAATTCCAATAATCCTCCGATTTGAATTCTCGGTGTATGGTGCCACTTCCTAGATCCAACAATGTTGGGGGACTTCGCGCAACATCATTATTTTGACTGATGTTGACGTAGTCCGGTTTAACAGGCTGATCCATCTGGAAGATTTCTTCCGGTTGGAACAAATCTGTTGAAATGTTGTTGAAGTCGTACTGTTGGTTCAAGCTGGTTCCGATTTCTGCCGGATACGGTTGGCCAGAAGTTGGTTCTTGGGTCCAGAAAGGTTCGAGTTGAGGTTGCTGATACGTTGAAGGTGATGAAGGGAACTGATGCAGAGTCGTTGACAACGGTTGCTGATAGGTACATATACATTCAAAGGGAGGACATGAGCAGTAGCCTGAAAAGAAAGAATGCAAAATTAAATACACTTGCTATTGCAAAAACCGATTTATCACGAAAGTGTTTTATTTCACCGAAATATAAAGTCAGCCTTTTTTAAGGAAAATCTCCAGAATATAAAAATAATAGTTTATAGCATAACATCTGTCAAAACTTTAGAAAGACATGTTGGGGCACCAGTTCATTTCTGGATACGTCGTAATAGTAAGAGACGAGTTTTAACATAAATCATAAAGCCTTTATCCGTAATACGCTAAATCAAAATTTGATCAAAATATATAGTGGTTTTAAATTTAGAACCCAAATTTTGAATCTCTAGATACTCCTTTGTGGTTTGACATTTCCGTTAGAAGGAACATTACAAAAAAAAAATAATAAAGTCCAAGTGTTATTTTGAGCACTCTGTACGTATCTGTATTCTTGATAAATGTAGTAAAATTAACTAGAGAAAGCTATTTTGATGTTGGATTAATCTATTGAAGACAAACATATCAACTATGACGATGCAATATTTCATTGTATACAATATGTAGGTAAAATTATATTATGTATGTTTAACTAGGATAAAAATGTGAAAAAAATAATTGCCATTTATAGGATGTAGCGACATATATGTACAGAACAGTAACACAACGAATAAAAAACAAATGAAGGTAAAATAGTTTTTATTAAATAGACCCTAAGAGTGCGCATACCTATATATAAATTTAGAAATTTAGTTCTTGAATGTCATATATAATTAATTGTAATAAAATTTTTAATTCCTAAAAAAGTCATTCTACAATTTACACATTTTCCCTCACAATTAACCTTTTTAATAAATAAAAACGTCACAGAAGGCTAAGGTAAGTGTAAAAAAGCGATATGTGAAGATTTCGATTAAAAGGAATTGTTAATGCAGTTATACAAAAAACATCACTTAAAAAAATACAGCATTCCTAGGATTTGCAATTTTGAGAAAAATACAGCTTCCAAATATGAGTATTCTTAGGGCGTATTTAATAAGTATTTTAACTTAATTGTGTCTATTACTTATTGTGTTAATGGCTTGTACTCGTTTAAATCGGTATGTCATATACAGGGTGGGCCATTAGTGTGAGAAAGTAAAATAACTCCCTTGTTATTCATAATACAGAAAAAAAAAATATAAAAGTTGTACAGAATCAAAAAACCTAAAGGACGAAATAAATTTGAAACACATCGGGCGATGAGTAAAAACGGGACATACCAAATATTACATTTTTTAAATGGAACGCCCTGTATATTTTTAAACATATGGATTTCTGAGAAAATTCTATATATGGCAGTATAAACAGTTTAACATTTTAGTGCGGGGTTGCCAAATTATGTAGAAAATTCTTGGAATTTTGGAAAAACATGACCTCGAAGAAGTTGTATTTCAACTACTAACTCTTGGAGAAAAATATTTGACAGAGTTATAGGCAAATGTTAGGCAAAGACTCCTATATTAGCTAATATCGATATTTTATACAGGGCATTTTTTATAATACGTTCATTATAAGAAATTTCAAATGGGACACCCTGTAGTTTATTGTACTATTTTATTCACATATCAGTCCACTTCAACTTTTATTAAGTATGTTTTTCACCTAAAGTTGTTAGTTTTTAACATATAGCAACATTTCTGGAAAAACCTAATTTTTATTATTTTCGGTCGCATGGCTTTGGAAAAAACTGTCATATTGTGTCAACTTAAAAATGATAAAAAATGACCTGTATAAAATTTCGATATTAGGTAATATAGGAGTCTTTGCCAAACATTTGCCTATAACTCTATCAAATATTTTTGCTCCAAGTGTTGGTAGTTGAAAGTTAATACAACTTCTTCGAGGTCTTGTTTTTTCCAAAATTCGAAGAATTTTCTACATAACTTGACAACCCCGCACTAAAATGATAAACTGTTGATATTGGCACATATAGAATTTTCCCGTAAAGACATATGTTTAAAAATATACAGGATATTCCATTTAAAAAATGTAATATTTAGCGTGTCCCGTTTTCACTCATCACCCTGTATCATGTATGTATCAAATTAATTTTGTAGTTTAGGTTTCTTGATTATGTATAACTTTTATATAAACTTTTTTTCTGTATTATGAGTAACAAGAGAGTTATTTTACTTTCTCACACTAATGGCCCACCTTGCATGAGAGGGAAAAAATTATTCATACTTTAAACTGATTGAGAAATGAAAATTTACCTTTGTCTGTTTCAGAAATAATAGAAGTTGGATTCAAACTCCTTGAGACTTGATTTGTTATTTCTCGACATTGACGCTTTGGTTCTCTTAAAGACATAAGCTGAAAAAAAAAAGACACATTATTTTCTATAATATTATATAAGTAATATGTAAAAATTCATTTATTTACTATAAATTTGACGAAATATTTTTTCTTATAGATTAATGTAATTAATAATTTATTTATATCTATACAAAAATATACACTGATGAAAGTAATATATTACTGACTACAAGCAACTCATTAATAAATAATAATAATAATAAGTAATTCAAGGGCGAGTAATATTCCTTGGATAAAAATAAACCGATTTAGATCAAATTCCCTTTATACAGTTTTTATTTTTTAAAAAGTGTGACGCCTCAAAAAAAAATGTGCGTTAAATTTTTCAATGTAACTTTCAACATCACTTTTTAAGGAATTCCAATTTCATTTGGTATAAAGGGTTTTTAGAATCGTAGAAGAATATAATTTTTTCTAGCGAAAACATGGAGGTCGCTAGGAATAACCAGAGTCTTTGGAGTTTGGTTCTATTATAATTGTCAACGCTTACTAAGATATAAGCCGCTAATCTCTAATTTTCTCACAGTGCTGTAAAATAGTGACAAAAAAATATATCGCGTAACGTTTACAGAAACATTCATCTTTGCTTTTTGTGACATTTTAAGAAAATCTTATTAATACTTTTTACTTTATTATTTTACTAAAAAAAAAATTTACCTACGTTGAAAGTTATCTCTATAACATGTTACAGAATAGTGATATAAGTGTTTTTACTTAACTTTAAAAGATATGAGGCTAAATCAAATCTAATCTCGATTAACTTTTCCCGAATTCCCAATGGTTCTTGAAATAACGGGGAATGAAGTTACTAGGTCGCTTCGGTAGTTGCTAAAGAGTAAATTACCTTGTTACGACTAAAGAGAGAGATTTATTTTAATAAAAGGGTAATGACAGTGTAATCATGAAAGCTACTCAATATGACCACTGCCTTGTGCAATGCATAACTCAATCCTTTGTCGAAGCTCTCGTTCCCAATTGTAGTTCTCCATACTGTTTTTCACCTCATCAAACGCTATAAGAATCTTCTCAATGAGTTGATCCCTGCAATTAGGCTTTCCCACTGTATAGGTAAGTACCCACATGAAAAATCCAACGGGGTGAAATCCGGAGATCGCGGTGGCCAAGCAATTGGACCGTACTTTTCATTGAGGAAATTAGTGACACCTCTTTCGTAACGAAACGGAGCCTATCATGTAAAAAGAATATCATCCTTCTGATGTGAAAAGGAATGTCCTGAAGTAGTAGAGGTAGATCGTTCTACAAAAAATCCCGGTACAAATGTTCAAATTTCCATCGAAGCAATGTAATCCGATAACTTCATTATTAATAATAATTATTTTAGCTCAAACGCTTAGGGAGAATCTTCTGGGCTTCTCAAATAGCATGAGGGTTTTTAATTGCCCACAGGGGTTCTTGAAAGTGTATCCAGATGACTCTTCCACCATTCACAAAGAAGAACTCTTCGGGAAAGATCCGTGGGGAGAAGTTCTTGTGTTGGTAATGATAGAGATGCAGTCCGTTTTCTCTTAAAGTGACTTGCACATCCCTTCCTACTTTGTCCAAAAAGTACAAAAATTCTTCTCGTATTAGTACCATGATTATTTTTAACAAGCTCAAGCATTTCTGCAGCATTGGAAGACGGCGGTTTGGATATCGTCGCTATATATTCCCTAATATGATATTCCCTGAGGCGGTGGTACTACCGTTGCAATATTCATACATAAAAATCATGTCCGCGTATTCTTCAAATGAATAAATTAAAGGCATAATATTAACACAATGACAAAAAATAAAAAAGAACCAACTGCTAATGATGACAATTAACGGTCTCAACATTTTTTTTTCTAAATCCAGCTAATTATTAAATTACCTAGACCTCTAGTCGCAACAATGTAATTTATTCTTTAGCAACTACCCATATACGATCTGGCAACTTCAAACCCCGATATATCAAAAAACCGCTGGGAATTCTGGAAAAGTTAATGGAATCATTTTTGCTTAAAATTACTCATAGAATTCATATACGAACTATCTCGTATACCTCGGTAGCCACCCTGTATATAGCTTTATTATTTGTAGCTAAAACACAGAGGTAGAAGAATACCTGTAGTTATATTAATAAGAATCATGTTTGCTTAAAATTAGTCATAGAATTCATATACGAAGTATCTCGAATGCCTCGGCTGTCCCGAAACAATTCCTGTACAAGTTCCATTGATATATTTTAAAAAGTTACAGAGTTATATTAAAAATTTAATAAAAAATATGAATTAAAAAAAATGTTGACATTCGTAATTTATTACAGATGCAAAAGTGTACGGGATAACAAAATTTATCTATTTTCATGCAAAGAAGCTCTCTTCGAAGTATGCCCATTGTTTATACTTATACCTTAAAACAATAATGATAAAACTTTGTTACATTTGATGAAGTTTTAATTACTATCGATCAATATTTTTCAATATAAATATGAGATATGTATTACAGCTCAAATATTTTATTTCAAGCTTTTTATATTTCGCTAATCCAGAGCAATTAATTATAGAAGCCTCACAGGCGTTGGGCAATTTGTAAGTGTTAATCTTACAGATAACATCAAACACGGAAATGGAAGGGAACGGACGAGAAATATCTTCTTCGCTATTGTTATAATTTCTCACAGGCGTGCTATTAATTACCGCACTCTGCATTCCTCAACCTATATAATTAAATATCTATGTGCGCGCCGGATTTATCAATCGCAACTCGTATTTTCAAAATATTGATGACTACCGATACTTAATCTCTAGCTATAGTAACTGGTTATTACTGGACAGTGTAACCGTAGGTTACGGGTGCATCGATTATTTGGTTTGATTTCCTACAAAGGAGAATAGATAACAAGATGGATTTAACGTACAATTCTATCGATACAAAACGAAGAAGTCATTGAAGTCAAAGGTGTAATTAAAAATAATCTTTAAGGTAAAAATTTCAAATAAATATTTCTTTTTTTATTTATGGACATTTTATCGATATCACCGATTGTTTTGAAAATTTGTAGTGTTACGTTTTATGATTTAATAATTTCTTACTATATACATAATAAAATTTTCAGTTACTATAATGTTTGTCTTAATTCTTAATTCATGCTTGGTATCTTAAGACCTGCTAATTTTCTAATTTAATTCCCGCCGAATCTCAAAAACTTAAAACGACCGTATCTAGAAAAGTTGAGTTTATCGATTTGTAACAAGTATACCATTTATAATTGAACGTAGTTCAATAATTTCTAGTTAAGAAATTCAAAACTGTAAAATACAAAAGTTAGACATAATTATTTTTACATTGTTAGGACAGTATAAATAGCGCCCCGTAGACGTGACCACAAATTTTCAAAGCAATCGCTCCATACATACTTAAAATATAGCAAAAAATCGAAAATATTTTTTCAACTTTAATACCCTGTAGAACGAAAAGAAGCAACAATTGATTAAGGCATGCTTGGCTCAATCCTTATATTTTTGTGTTAACAATCTGCCATTAAGCTGTGTACCAATATTAATGCGTCACTCTGTAGGTATATGATATAAATTTTTGAATTTTCTATTAGATTTTTGGTTAAATTGACAGTTTTAACTGATGATCTCCGTTAAAACTATCAGTAATTATTAACTATTGACAAATTCAGATACTGGTTTTATGCCTATGCCTAAAGTAAAAACAAATGGACAACAAACTATCTTTATAATTAAATAACTACGGGCGATTCATCAGTTGTAACATATTTTCAAAATATTGCTGACTACTGATACTTAATCTCAGCCTACAGTTACAGTAAGTAATGCGTAGAAGAAGAATAAAAAACAAAATGTATTTACAATACAGATTTTGAGAAAGTACAAAGTACTTTAAAAATAGCTACGAGTATTTTAGCATGAATGATTGTTTATTGGGAGATGATCTATATCAATAAACTCGATAATTGATAAATGTAATGGATTTTTATAACTAAACATTGATTTGATGCCTACGCTTAGAATGAAGATCAAAAAGGTAAATATTATGGACCACAAAGAGGATAATCACTAATTACCTGAGGGAAGGAAGATTATACCAGAAGCTGTACGATGAGTACATGCGATTCTAGCTCCATAGAATATAAATATTTCAAATGATTGTAAGGAAATAAAAACTAGGACTAGAAGAATGAGCCTCCTAGCAATTTAGTCTAGTTTGCGAACAGTTCAACAGCAGAAACAATGGCCATTTATTACCATGTATCATGGTTAAACGGGACGAACATTAAAAACTAATGAATTAAGTATTATCCGATAGATAGAGAGACTTAAAGAGTAGACAGACAGACAGAAACAGACATACTTAAAAGTAATCAACTCATACCAGATAGAACGGGAATGGAGTTGTTTGGATTACCTGAACAAAGTCATCTAACACTGCAAGAGTTCCAAAGCCTCTTGCGGTAATTGCAGCCCTATTAGAACTCTTCTGCAGAAAGGAATGAAGCCCGATGCTCAAATATGATGACAAAGAATTACAGGAATTTACTGCTAAATGAATATTGTACAATCAAGAAACGTCCTACTAATGTTTTAGAAGAAAACCTTATCTTATGATGAAGATAAGACCACAGTGTTGTGCAAAGAAGATCTACTAAATGTGCACTACCGGAGGTACTACTATTAATTAGAGCCTACTCTAAGTTCATGGAAGATCACAATAGATCTACAGATATTCGTATTAGAAACGGATAGCATATCTACTCCATAAGTCTACAATCAATAATCTACAAGTCGTACTGTCTGGTATAATGAAAGTAACTATCAAAAGGCCAGACCCTTTAATAGTTACTGAGTAGTTGAGAGATTATTTTATAACCATAAGATCTTAGTTCATCAATTTTGAATATTTTTATCTCCATAACTCCAAATCCACTCCAAATAACTTGTTTTTCCAAGTTATTAAATTGCGCCAGACTTGGAAACAAAATTAGTCAAAATATTGAGAATCGATTATATATTGTTTATTTCAAATAAATCAGTTTTAAATTTAAGAGTAATGGTACAAACTTTTGTATCCACCTAATTTTTCACTATTGCTTCATAACTTATAAAAATACAATTTACAGTACTTTACTTACCTTATTTCCTAGGGCAGCCTCTTTAGCCAATAAAACTGCTAACCCCCTTACTCTTCTCCCGCTTCCTAAAGTCCTTCTTGCTTCGGACGTACTTTTAGCTTCAGGTCTGGGATGATCGTGTACCCCTTTTGCTTGAAAAAATATCGCATGCTCCGTATGCCTCCAAAAATGAGTTACGGGATATCCACAATGACCTCTACATGGTAGTATTTCAAGGCGTCCTGTGCATTGCCTATTTGGGCAAGGTTTGCCTAAAACAAAATTAATATGAAATGCTAGATATTCAAAAAGTAATTCTAGAGTAGGATAGATTTAGAAAACATTTTTATATTTACTGTAATTGTCGCTGACGTCAATAAATGGTAATCCACTAACAAATTCAATATGATTTGCAACAGAGATGCAAGAGGATAAATGAGTATCATTCGACTAGGATATTTAAAAATTCTCTGTATAACGCTGGCAAATGTTTCAAACTGTTCGTCTGTATACGAATATCCAAAACGGTGTTTCTATTCTAAATTTAATGAATAAGTATGTGAAAATGAGACAGAAAACTAACAATTTACTAAGTATTTACTCAACACAGTGGTACAAGAGCACCTTCAAAAATATAATATGGTACATATAGTGTTAGTTGAAATTTAAAAAATTTCAGTTAAGTACCTACTATACTTTATAGTCTGACAGAAGTTCTTTGGATCAAAATAAGATAATTTAATCAAACTCACTTCTATCTAAAATTACTTCATTTAGGCTTTTAGAGGGCGTAAAGTTTGACAAAACAAACTCTAAAACGATTTGTCTGATTTGAGTAAAATTTGGTATGCAAATACATGTGTTCAAATGTCACTTTTTGATATACCTATTAACTAAGTAGTAGCATTTACAGAGATGGAAAAGATACCCCCACCAAATCTTCTCATATCTTTTTACAGATGACCTCACAATTTCAGTTTCTATTTTATCATAAGTTTTAGAGCTGGCCTCTAGTTTTATCTCTTTATTAATTTTTTTCTTTTCCTAACTGTTTTTTCGTACTTCATTGTTTTTATTAATTATCACCAATGCATTTTCGATACAAATATAATATAGTTATCATAAAAAATGTTATTTACCTGATAGTAAAAAGGAAATGATGTTTTCAGAAGTTAAAAAATTTGTAATCGAATGTAAAGCAACGACTAAATTGCATTTAAATCATACAAACCGTTTTAGAGTTATTTGGAAATAACTGAATTTTGTTGCCAACTCCCCTAGTGGCTAAGCAAAGCAACTACATATAGAGGAAAGTTTAGTTAAATCTTATTTTGACCCCATTTACATGGAAAATTGGAACACTCCGGATAACATCACTTTTTCTAAACCTATTTCTTGCTCACCTATGTAAGGCGTTTCAAATTAAAGTTTAAAATTTGAATTTGAATTATCTAAGTAAGAAAAAAAAGAGAGTAGAGCTTTTTCTAAAATATTTCTTGAGATCAGTGGTGTAACATGATGAAATGACAGTAATTAGATTAGATTAGTGGTGATAATCTGCTGAATTTTAATATAATCGTGTCAACCAGTAGCGGAGGTACCAGCAGTCACTATCACTAAGAACCTCATAAATTCGAGACCGTTATTAATCTAAAATAACATTCGAATTATTCTTTTCGTAAAAATAGTTTATTGAATTATTTTCTATAATATAGGTATAAACAAATCACGCAAAGTTGAATTCTGTTTAGGAGCATACCCTCGGAAAAAATTCAAGGTTGCTACGCCAATGATTTTTTTGCACTTAGATGTATTGTGTTTAAAAAATCATACTTCTGCATTAAAAGCATGTAACGTTATTTCTGATTTATTCAAAGGAGAAGAAAGGAAAAACGAAAGAAAGTAGTAGATTTCATTTTTCGTATAAAGTGGAAGAAACGCTTTTTTAGAAATACCACTGGGAGTTATAAAAGCTGAATTTCAAGAATAGTCATTGGTGTAGAATTTTTTTATCCTTATTCGGGCATTTGCATAAAAAAAATGTGTTTTGTTACTGAAGGACAGTAGTATGAGACTTTAGTTGAGCTTCCTACTAGTAGATGGCGCAATTAAATCATAGTCTAGCACGCACTAGCTGCCCGCCAAATTCGTTTTTCTTTTACATTTCTTATTTAAATTTGCTAATTAAATAATAACTTCATGCTAAAATAAAGAAACACAGATCGAGTTCTTTGCCTTATTATTTCATTTTATGGTAATATCTGAAAAGGTGGTAAACACCCCATTATAATGACCACAGTATCCGCCATAAGTTGATATGTTTACGAGGGTTTCTGAATACAACATATGTTTACCTTTAGTTGGAAAAGTCAATAGACCCCATACACGTAAAAAATTTTTAGAGGGCCTACCCCGCCATGGACCAAATCTGTTGTCAATCCTTGGATCGATATTTGGGTTAGCTTAGCAGATTGCGACGGTTTTCAAATATTTCAAACATTATGTACAAAAAATATACAAAACGTGTAAGTTCAGTAAAAATAAATTTATTTAAATAATGGAGTGGACAACAAAAATCCTAACATATATTGAAATTTACTCTTAGTTCTCGAAGTAATGGCATATGTCCGCATTTTTCCTTGTTTTCAAAATTAATTAAAGCAACAAATCACTCCTAAAATATATGGTCGCACATTTGCATCATCAGATTTTAGAAAACTGAAATACCGGTCCAAAGACATGTTGTGGCGACCAAAATATCTGTACCTACCCTAACAAATCAATCGACAGATGAGATGGCCCCTTGTGGCGCCTTATTGACTTTAATCAAACGTCTTCAGAGATTAGAAGACATTCTCTTATTTTAATCACCCTAATTCAAATTAATCCAAAAGCACCCTTATCTAAAACAACACTTACCCTGCTGCTTTTTCCTGGCCTTATCGCAAATAGCGGGCCTAAGATGCACCCGATCCCCGTTAGGTAGGGTGCACCTCAAGGAACACATCAGTACCCCCAGACAGCTCTTCTTCAGTATGTGAACGTTGTGGTTGTTGGTGTTCCTCATTGCCCAGCCGGACGAGTGTCTCTTGGCCTCCTCGTTGTCAGCGCGGTACACCAGTCTACAGTGGCCGTCGGCCCACTCGGAGAAGGGGTCATACTCGTTGATTCGTGGGATGGCACTGTCGTTGATGTCCCAGTCTGTGCTGCTTGAGTAGGCCCGGCACGACATGCCAGGTGAAGAGGGGGTGTGCCTGCAATGGAGAGGAGATTGTGAAAGATTTTGAACCAGTTCAAGATTTAAAATAAAAACACCTTATAGATAATATTATCCTTATTAAAATAAGGATAGGATCAGTACTGTTTTAATAATTGTAACGATTAAAAGGTGTCGACATTTTCTGAAAATTTGTTTACTAAAGTCATAACCAAGAAAAATAAAATCAACTTCGAACGTGCTACTAAATGATTTTGAAATTAAACATTATGAATAATTTCAGTTTTAGTCCTAATCTCATTTACGAATCAGATTATGTATTATCTCCTCTAAAATGAAAAAAAAGCGATTCTTTATGTAGTACAGGGTGTATTTAAATTGAGGGACACAAATGATACCAGAGATTCCTTGGGTGAAAATAAGTCGATTTAACCTAACATATCTATTTCCCAAGTCGCATAATAAAAAAAATACAGGGTGTCAAAGTAAAAAATAAAAAATGGTTTTTCCTTAATAATTTCTATAATTTTAGTCAGAAATGTTTCAAATTTTCAACAGAGAGGTTTTTTTATGATGGGAAAAATAATATAATAATGATTTTTTGAGTGTCGCGTACGAGGCGCCCTCTGCAGGCAACGCATTGAATATGTAGTCACTTTTTTGCCAACCCCCGTATACAACTTTTAGTAACAAAATATGAAATATTGGACTTTTTTGAACAAAAAAAAGTATACTTATTGAAAACGGCTAAAACTAACCGATGAGGAAATATTTTTAATTACATAAATTAGTGTTACGGATTTATACATCCACGAATATAAAAGTACAAACAGACACGTTTGTTAATAAATTCAGAACGCATTGCCTCACAGTACTTATTAGTTGTGTATCTGTATTTTAAAATTCGACCAAAAGGGGACGCAGGAATCAATTGAGACAACATTATTTTTCCTGTTTTAAATTTACTTTACTTTTTTGCGTAGGTATTATTTTAGCATTTGTGAATACACTTGTTGCATAATTTCTGTTTAATTGTTGTTTTATGTGTCTTTCTTTAAAAAAAAAACACATTTTCTTGTGCATGTGAAATTATTTAAACCCTGTATTAAAGAAATCTCATATGAAATAACAGTTCAGGTGAAAAAATATTGCAAAATACTTGTCGATTGTTAGTTTAATAATAATTATTAGAAAAAAGAGCAAAACAACTAAAACCAAGAGTCACTTAACAACAGTCAATAGATAATTTAAGAGAAATAATTGGCTGACAATAAAAAAAACAAGATTTTTTAATGGATATTTTCAAATAATAATATTGAAACATTATTTGCAGTGAGTATGAATATAGATATACAGAGTATTGTAATTTCTATGTTACAGATATTAGAATATTTTCAACAGTCAAAATTTTTGTAACACTGTAAATAAATCGGTCTGAGTGAAAGCTGAGATTGGTAAATCATTACTGACAAACCGTCAGGCAAATACTCCAAATTGTGAATTTTGTAGTCATGGTACCCATTGGTCTTTAAAATTCGTTGAACGGCTGATTTATCCAAATTCCGACTAGCTTGCCATATAGAATATCATGGATTTTGTTCGAAATATTGTAACAGTCTATCTGTATTAACATTGTTTCTTACCCTTCGGTCAATTATTTGATTTTTCCGAACAGAAAATGCATCTTCATTTTGTCGCGAGGTCGCCTCCAATCTTGTAAAGATTCTGTGATCAGAAATAAAGCGCTCTGGATACCTTTCTCGATATAACTCCACAGCTCTTCTTGAATTTTTTTGTGACTCGCCGTAAATTAGCAACATAGGTATCAACTTTTTCTGAATGAGAAAACGTTTTGTAAGCGCAAAAGTTATACGTTTGACGTTCGTATTGAGTAATGACAAGTATTTTGTGACATTTATGTACCTTAAACAACAAACATTCAATTATTTTCCAACGACTACTTGATCCTTCCACCGCTAAGTGATTTTTAGGTGGTATTTCTTTTTGACTCCTTAGGGCGATATTGCTTATAACTTTTAAACGGCAAGTAATATAGAAAAATTTCTCTAATAAAAGTTTATTAGAATAAAAAGCTTTTTAACAGGAAAAAAAATGGGTGTGTTTCTGGAAAAAATATAATTGATGACGTCATTAGTCGTTCCTGTCAAATCCCAAAGATAATACTTTCGATTGAAAATGGAGCTTACCTCATTCCATTTAACTCCACGTGTCTCAAATTGTATTTAAGTTTTTTGTATTCTCATAATAGGCCCATACTATCGAGTTTGAAACACCTTGTAGATGGAGCGCCTTATTGAAATCTCGGCAAGTTAGACTGACTTTTTATGTTTTACATTAATTACACGCGATAATTACTAACAATTGTTTTTTTAACTAATCTTCTATGTATAACTTAATTTTTGCGAAATATTTGCAAGAACACGTAAACAAGACATTTGTAAAAATGTATTAATATTAAACGTTCCCGGAAAAACAATCAGATAAAAAAATCTACAAATGGCATCAAGTTTAGCATCTATTGGTTCTAAGAAGGTGTAACTTTTTCGTAATTAGAATTAAAGTTCATAAAATGTTTTGTTTTTTGATTTACAAAAAGACAATTAGTAAATTGTAAAAAAATCAGGAAAAGCTTTTTCTCTGTATAAAATATATGTTGGATATCACTAAAATGCACCTTTTCAGAGAAAAATAGGTTTGATTTTTTGCAGTAGTTGTCGGTTATTGAATTTTGGTTAATTTTTGCAAATTAGAAGTAATTAAACATCATCTTTTTGCTAAGTTTGTAGCTATATTAAATATTGTCCACTATTTCGTCCAACATACACTTATTCAAATGTTAACAGCGTTGAATTTCATGATTTGATATCAATCCTAAAAAATAATCAGTACAACTAAATAAATCACTCGGCATGATGACACAATTCACTTTAACGATCTTTTATTCTTAAAAATCATACACAATGTTAAATATGTCGGTATTTCTGCTTTATATAGGTAACGTAACATTTATCGTTTTTAAAAGAACTCGGAAAATGACGTTTGTGCTTAACTGGTTTCTTGTACAAGAAATTGAATGGGGATCCGTGTCGGTATTATTAGGTAGGTATATTAAGTTCGAAAAAAAATTGTTTCCGAAATATGCCTGTAAATAAACAAAGCATTTTCGACAAAACTTTATTTTAAGTACCTGGCTGATATTTGACCTATTAATAACAAAACACCCTGTACTACATACATATATTCCAATATACTGTAATAATATATCTTCTTTATCAGGTGATTTTCTCTACATTTGAGAGTGGTATATAAGTGAAGTCAAAGGTGGAATACTGCTCAGTGATATGGAACCCGTAATATGCCAAATACAGGGTGAGTCATTAATAATGGTACACAGCTTAATGGCATATTGTTAACGTCAAAATATAGTGATTGAGCCAAACATGCTTTAATCAATTATTGCTCCTTTTCGTTCTACAGGGTGTTAAAGTTGAAAAAATATTTTTCTTTTGCAGTTTTACGGTTTTTGACGAGGCAAATACGAATATGCAAACAGTGTTGGGGTCAAGTCTAGAGGGCGCTAGTTATACTGTCCTATCAATTTAAAAATCTGTCTAACTTTTTGTATTTTACAATTTTGAATTTTTTAACTACAAATTATTGAACTACGTTCAATTCTAAATCAAAAAGGTGTACTAGTTACAAATCTATAATCTAACCGTTTTTGAGATACAGACGTTTTAAGTTTTTGAGATTCGAATTAAATTAGAAAATTAGCAGGTCTTAAGATACCAAGCCTGAATTAAGAATTAAGACAAACATTACAGCAATTGAAGCTTTTATTATGCATATCTTAACAAATTATTAACTACCAGCAGCTTCAATGCACTTTCTTAGCTTTTTATTAAAATATTCTCTTCTCTAAAAAATATCGACAAGGAAAAAACTACTCCTTAATCAAATTGAGTAGGAAACAATATGGTATTGTAGTCACAGCTGTCAATTTATTATCCATGCCTACTACTTTGGAAAAAATAATTTTCTAATTTAATTCCCGTCGAATCTCAAAAACTTTAAATGTCTGTATCTCGAAAACAGTTGAGTTTATCGGTTTGTGACAAGTATATCTTTTTTGTTTAGAATTGAACTTAGTTCAACAATTTCTAGTTAAGAAATTCAAAATTGGAAAATATAAATAGTTAGACATATTTTTACATTGACAGGACAGTACAACTAGCGCCCCCTAGACATGACCCCAACACTATTTGCATATTCGTATTTGCCTCGTCAAAAAACGTAAAACTACAAATTTTCAAAACAATCGGTCCATACATACTTAAAATATAGATAAAAAAGGAAAATATTTTTTCAACTTTAACACCCTGTAGAACGAAAATGAGCAACAACTGATGAAGGCATATTTGGCTCAATCACTATATTTTGACGTTAACAATCTACTATTAAGCTGTGTACCATTATTAATGACTCACCCTGTATATTCAATTAATAATTGAAGATTTGTCAAACATGCTACATATATAACTACTGGGCAGTATAGTAGAGGTGATCATTATCAACAAGATCTAATTAATAACAATTTATTAACTTTACATAATAGGCGTTCCTTTCAACAAATAGTATATTTATATAAACTTATCAAGTACATTACAAAAGATAAAGTGTTAGTAGGCAAAATTAATATACGTATTCCCTGTCAAAAAAAATCGGCAATATTGTGCGTTTCATTGTGAGATTGTTGAAACAAATTATCAATTAAGGCCACTACTTATTAATTAACATGTGTCTAAAATATAACCAGCTACAGAATAAATGTGACATGCCTACATACCTATATGGTGACACATTTAAAGTTGTTAAAAATTTAAAATCTTGTTTGGATACTGTCAATAATTAACATTATTTAACTTAGCGTTCTAAAGTTATTCACAAATAGGACATTGCATACTATTATTACCCTTTATATATAAAAAATTATAGATAATGCAATATGCATTTGAACAATTAGTTATTTCGATTAAATTTACTGAAACATATGTATTCCACATTTCAACTGAAAGTGGCAAGATATCAGGTCAGCTAACGTATTAAGTAAACCGAGAATTTCCATATTAGTTTTAATATAATATACAGCCAGGCATCCACGTTTTATGTTTGTTATGAATTAAATAATCGCTGGCTCGCCCGATGATAAATACAAGAACGATTCCATAACCCACGCGAACGTTGTTCCTTTGAAATCTGAAATGAAAGCTTGTAAAACCATATCTAACCATAAATTTCATTCGTAAGTTATCGAGTTGTTGCAACGAATCGGTCGTAAAGCGCCCTTAGGACAATGGTTATTAAACAATCGTAATTCTGCGTTGTCACTAGACCGGTAATTATTCTGTTCGATTAATTATATGATATCTGATCTCTGAATCGTAAATAATTCACTAGTAGGCCGGCAAACTGGCCGCGCAAGGTATACAAGTGGAAAACGGCACTATCGGCGCTAGTATAACATCAAGATAAACAAGTATTATTCCTGTCTTGACTCGGAGATCTTCGATACAGAAGAATCATAGCAATTGTTTTAGTAAAAATAAACACGGCATAATCGTATCTGTATCAGCATCACGCTACAATAGATACAGTTTTTCCTGTGATAAAATACAAAGCATACTGACGCTTTTTTAACATTTTAAGTTAACTAAGCTTGCTATGAGCAAACATATAGCTCTAACAAAGTATTTGACGTAACCTTTTACCGCCCATCGGGGTTTATTTCTGAGTGATATCGATTCTCAATCAGGCGACGAACCTTTACTAACATATTGAACTCTCCTGCGGCTTGTTTTAAATGGGCAAAACATTAACTAAACGTTTAATTTAAGAAAAACTGATAACTTACAGAATTACCATATCTTCCAAAACTGGAGGTTTTAAGTCCAGAACACTGAGAGCGACGAAAAATCAAAAGTCCATTTCACGCACAACTTAAACAGTCTTCCAAACTAAACTTTCAGGATTGCAGTTGACGTACTCGCTATTCTATTTCTATGGAAGAACTAACACGACCGAACGTTAGAAACTTGGAAGGATAACTGGAACGACTAGCGCGTGTGTACCCCTGAAATAGAAGACCCCGCCTTTTCTTCCCTTCCTCCGGTAATCTAACGCTTCGCCGGCCAATAGATTCGTGTTCTAGTTACGGACCCACCCCCATATTTCCGGTATCTAACACCTGACGGTAGTGAGTAGGTTCATTGGCTGAAATACTTCAGGAAAGAAAGTTTTCAGGATAAGGTAGGATTCGATTCTGAATTAAGGATGGAGTTTTTGCGTTTGCATTTGGCTTGTTTGTGTTCGGCCAATATTTACGTTGAGTTATTGGGGAAGTGGAAAATCGTTAAAGATCTCGTTTTACTCGCTTTTTTCTTTTTAAATTTACTATTATACTACATAAAATTTGTAAAATTATTTGTTTTGAGGTTTTTTAGTTTTCAGTGTGTGAATTTCGCAATTAAACTTAGTAGAAATTCGAATATTTTAAGATATTTATTTTAGGCAATCTTTCACTTACTAAGTTTTGTATTTCATTACTTTTCATCTATTCAGTTTACATTTGTTTTGTATTATACCCATCGGGGTTATTAATTTGTAGGTACAATAAATTTGAAAATATCTACTTGTGTCCTTTATTCCTAAGCCTGTTTGATAAACATAGTTTCAATTCAATTTGTATTGCAATGAAGTTTGGTATTACAAAAAACTTGTCATCTGTATTTTTAAGTAGGTATGAGGGAAATGTTACCAAAACAATTTGCTTTAACATATCTGACAAAGGATTTGCCTGCTCGTTGCTTAGAAATTAACAAAAAAATTGCTTTTTTGGCCCTTTTTTACCATATTTCCATTAATATTTAGATATAAATCTATCAGACTATCAGACCTCATATTTCTGAATCTTAAAACATTACTGCAATTCTTTTTTCAACTAACTTATATTTATCTACTTATCATTCATGAATAAATATGAAACAAATTGAGTGAAATTATACTCTTTCACCCAATAATGTCTCAATTTATGTCCATACAGATTGAGTGGAAATTTATATTTATTAATACGAGTACAATCGCAATTTTGTCAATGAAACTGCCAGTAGAAGTAACGAATATTATTAAAATCTTTGTTTTTGTTATTTCCAGTGAACGACTTTTCGATTTATTACACTGTAAAAAAATTGGTGTGAGTGAAATCTATAAAGGTACAGAGTGAATTCAGTGAGTAAAATGATTGAGTACATTTTCACTTAATATTAAGCATTTTGATAAATTTATTCATTTGCGATAATATTTGAACTAAAACTGAGTATTTTCACTCAATATAGGTATTGGTATTTGGTGCACTTATACCTAAATCGGAGTAAAGTCCTCATTATTGAGTGACCCCATTCCATTATATGGTTGTCGTGAGTTGTCTTTGTTTATTCCCATCGTCCCTATTAAGTCATCTCGTGACGTGGTGTATGGCGTGTAGTGTTGGACAAGTGTCCGTTTATTCGGTTATTTTGATGACAATTGTGTTTAAATTCAGTGATTTGATTACAATAATTAAAAGCAGTTGAGTCTCGATTAATATTTTGTTAAATAAACGGATATTTAGATTATTACCTACTTACTTATGTATCTGTAACGTACAATGTAGGTTATGGCAATCTATTCGTCCCATCAGTTAACCAGTTCTTTTAATCGAGATCCAAAATATTGTATCTAAAACAGATCTATGTAGAAACCACTGGGCAGCTTAATAGTTTATAACTTTAATATACTAACATTTAAATTAAAATTTAAAGAGAATAGAATCCAATTCTGAGTAAATAATTACTCAATAATAGTTAAAATTTAAAGAAAAGTCACTCACTTGGTAGTTAGCAGAAACTCGGATTTGAGTAAAATTCATTCAGTTCTGTTTCAATAAAATTTTAGTTATCATACTAATAGTGAATCAATCGGGTGTGGACAAAAATTGATACCTACATTATTGAGTAAAGTTGAGTGAAACTGAGTGATTTTTTTTTTACAGTGTATAACCCCATCAACAGTGTTATTTCCATTCTGCATACAATTTAAGTTTAATTATTAATTTTTACTGTAACTAGATTATAGTGAAAAATTTTAACTGGGTTCAGATGAATAGATTGTGAATGCATTCATTGTACATTACTTGTTTAACCGAATTGATGATTTAGTTAACTGGGTCTAAACCGCAACTTAAAATGCTAACCATTAATTATTATATTCACTGTACTGGTACACACCAGAAATAATCCTAATATAGTCAATTTTGTATTTGTTTCGATGTCAAATGACTAGAGATCGGAAATGTTAGGACGGCTGCAATGTGGTACAGGGTTGACTGTGGCCGGGTTCTTTTTTATGTAATTTTATTGTAACTAAAAGTGTCACAACCATTGCCTTCTTATAACTGCACTCATCACATTATAACAATACATATATATGTATTTGCATAACAGTATGAAATAAAAATGGATAGTCTCTATGTTTTGAAATTAATGACACTTGAAAATTGGGCTGGTATAATGCTTTATTTTTTACTTTACAACTTTTTGCAAAATACATGTGTGCTCTATAGTGGACTGTAACACACTCCCTTTTTTCATGTTCGTTCTCCCTTTTCACACACTTAGGCACACCTCGCGCCATCTGTTTGTCCACACACGAACCATAAGTAAAGGGTGCCACGCATTTTTGTTTTTTAACTAAGAAATCCCAACACTCTACTTTTCTACACAGAATGTTTCACATGAAATTTACCATAAAATATGTAGGTATAGTACGTAATAATAAGTATCAGCAAAAGTTAACAAAATAATAATTTCTTTCTCATAAGGAAAGTGATTGTAGAAAATAATTAACAGTTGCCCTAAGTGTTCCGCGGCTATTCGTCTCCGTTCAACATTTACCGAGGTCAGAGTGCAAATCTAAAATACTCGAGGATTAGATGCTATTTATACTAATGTTGGCGAAGAACAACTCTTCACATTTTAGAAATTCCACTATCCGCGTCATTGTACAATAACATGCTCATGTCTGCTACTGATCTGACGCTTCGCATCGATCAATTTATTCGATACGTATCTAGCAGCACTCTAATGCCTGTCCTGTCGGCCCGGGTGTACCGTAGAACAATACAGGTCTTTTGCTGATTAACGTTGGAAATAGATTTCACTTCGTTTGTGCGTGTGTGAATTTGATGACATACTTGGTCGAGTGTATGGCACCTGTTTTTATGATAGTCAGTAGCATTGTGTATCCTGAGCATAGAGCGACACTTGGCTTGACCACAGAGTTAGCCTGTTTCTGCTACTATAACACATATTGCCGCTTAATGGCATAATATAGATTATTACTGTTTATTCATTTGATTGTCGTCACAAAGTTTCCGATGTCTACAGATGACCTAACAATATGATAAACGATTGCGTGGGGAAGAATAACAAAATCCCAAGCTGATAAAAAGACTTCTGAATAAAAAAGTTGAAATTATTCACTCAGGTTTAGGTATAAATGTGTTTTTAGAGTATTTTTATGATTTGTTTTATATTTGATTTAGTTCATCAATTTTAGTTCACTTAAATGACTAAAATTTTCACAATTTTTAGTTCTAAGTGATAATATATCTACTTAATAATTTAATTCAGGGAATACACTTAGTACCTTCAATTTGTTGAATAACCAATTTTTATGGTATACAAATTCTTAAGACATAAATATAATATTAATTAATAATTATTGCATAACATTATTCATTCACCTTGGAAGGTATAATTTTATTAAAATCATTACTTTAATCTTTCTGGAACCATTTGAATAAACCCTTGCTTTTCTACAAGAACAAAAGCCTAGGTATATTTCTGAAATTCCACCCCCAATCTAGTATAAGAGCAAAACTACAGCTATGCCACGCTGAGGTAAACCCTAACGATGTAATAATTATTAAGTTCCTTAGATAAATAAAACTCTCTGATTTTATAAACAATGCACCTTTAGAGAAACAATAATATGTCTGATTATAGGTACCCACCTCGAATTTAAAAATTAGCTTTATCGTTAATAGGATCTCAGCAGGTTCTATAGAGTGTTAATATTATATTTATGTTTCATATTAATACTTAAGTTAATAACTCTTTGTATTATGACGTTATACACACTAGTAACCCATTACGGTAATTTATTATCTATCCAAGTAAGAGAAATTCTCGCCCACGTAGGCATAACTTGTTTGTTGTAAATCGAACAGGTATTTTTAAGAAATTGGAAGTGAGATATTGTATAGAGTTACCTGCTTCTCGAATTTCTCATTTTATTGGTAAAAGTTGCTAGCATTTTAGTGAATAAATTTCGTAAGGCTCGAAATATAAACACTTACACAGGATGTAATAAAACAACAACGTCTTAAAATAAAAGAGTCTTTAAATAAACATTTATCCGGAAACGTACCGTTTTCCATGTATGAACATTCAGATTTTTTAAAAAGCTTTTTTTAAATATTTAAGAACATGTTATGATAGGTTCACAAAATTTGCTACAGTAAACTAGATTTAGTAACTATAAATCCATGTTAGTAATTGTGCTCATTTGTTCGGAATATATTTATTAGAAACAAATTTTTTTCTTAATCTTTAATGCCCTAATGCCATCTGAAAAGCGAAAGCTTCAAAGCAAATGTTCATAGCAGTAAACATTCTTAAACTTGAATGAGAAAAAACTCTTCTACATTTTTGGCACCTTGTTCTGTTACATATTAAGAAGTTCTTGAACTTATCAAAGACATATTCTATCAAAAAATTGTAATATTCTGCTCCTAAAACATATTCCTCATATTGAAAAATAAATTT